TATTAATGCTGAAATGTAATATTATTGTATAAACAGTGATATATTTTTTCATGTTTTTTTTATGAAAGTTCAAAAGTACAGCATTTGTTTGAAATAATATTTTGTAGCATTATAAATGTCTTTAGTGTCACCTTTTGTCCATTTAATGTGTCCTTAAAATAATAATTTTGTATTTTCAATCTAATTTTGGGTAAAAAATATTCTAACTTTATAGTCTGACAAAATAATCAAAGAGACTTTTGGTTATTTATTGACACTTAAATCATCTAATTGCAAGGTCAGTGTTAAGTGCATTTTATTGTGGGATATTTCACAGTCATAAAATTAGCGCAGCAGATGTCAGTCAATTTCTGACATTTCATCACTATTCTTTAAAATATGATGAACAACCGCAGCTGTAATGTCACTGTATTAATGGAAATGTATTCGAAGCTGTCAGAAGCAAAAATGGCCTCTGATGTTGTTCCTGTTTTTTTGTTTTTTTTTCATTAATCTCTTGATGATAGAAAATCTCAGTAATTAATTTGTCATTTATCTAATTTTCCCATCTAACCACGACAGAGCTCTGTTCCTCTGCTGCGAAAAGGCGATATGTGTTGGTCTCATCCAGGGCAAATTGAATTAGCCCCCGTAAATGAAGTTTAATTAAGATGCTGATAGCAAGCCATTTCTCCAGTCTTTAGTGTGACATGATGCTTCAGAAATCATTCTACCGGTAATATAAATTAGTAAATAAATGTGGTGCTCAATAAACATTTATTATTATTATTATTATTATTAATGCTGAAATGTAATATTATTGTATAAACAGTGATATATTTTTTCATGTTTTTTTTATGAAAGTTCAAAAGTACAGCATTTGTTTGAAATAATATTTTGTAGCATTATAAATGTCTTTAGTGTCACCTTTTGTCCATTTAATGTGTCCTTAAAATAATAATTTTGTATTTTCAATCTAATTTTGGGTAAAAAATATTCTAACTTTATAGTCTGACAAAATAATCAAAGAGACTTTTGGTTATTTATTGACACTTAAATCATCTAATTGCAAGGTCAGTGTTAAGTGCATTTTATTGTGGGATATTTCACAGTCATAAAATTAGCGCAGCAGATGTCAGTCAATTTCTGACATTTCATCACTATTCTTTAAAATATGATGAACAACCGCAGCTGTAATGTCACTGTATTAATGGAAATGTATTCGAAGCTGTCAGAAGCAAAAATGGCCTCTGATGTTGTTCCTGTTTTTTTGTTTTTTTTCATTAATCTCTTGATGATAGAAAATCTCAGTAATTAATTTGTCATTTATCTAATTTTCCCATCTAACCACGACAGAGCTCTGTTCCTCTGCTGCGAAAAGGCGATATGTGTTGGTCTCATCCAGGGCAAATTGAATTAGCCCCCGTAAATGAAGTTTAATTAAGATGCTGGTTTTAATGATTGGGCTCTGTGTCCTCTACATTGCCACTCATCACTCATTTAGACAAAAGATCCTTCCCGCTCATGCCTCCTGACTTACTCAGCCTTCAGATCTGGGACTGATTATGAGACTAATGTGTGTTTGGACTGCGTTTTATGCACAGAATGGCTTGGCTTAACTGTATGCATCAAGCTTTGCCACTCTGCCTTCCAAGAGCCCACTTTTAAAATTGTATGTGTTTAAAAAAAATGAATATTTAACTTCAGTTTTACTGTGGATTTTTATGGTGTAAAACTCCCACAACTTGGATGTTGTGGGTAGTTGAAGAGGTGTTTCTAAAATATTTCAGAATGTATTTCTGTGATGTTCTTTGTATATTATATTATTTTATATTGTATTATAAAGTGTTAGGAAGATTACTTTGGAAATGTAATAGGTTGCAGATTACAAGTTACCCTATTCAAAATGTAATAAGTACTGTAACTATTTCAATTACTTCATTAAAGTAATGAAACTGATTACATTTTATTACTTTTCAGACTTTAGCACTTCTTTTTACTTTGAGATCGTTCTGATTAAGATGTGGTGTGCTGCGAATTCAAATGAGAGAATCTAAAGCAGAGAGAACTGCTAAAGAACTGCTTTACTAAACAGTCTTTAAATGGCAGGAGGCATTGTGCACATCAAAACAGGGAAAGCAACGAATTAATATTATTCAGCATATCCTAGCTTTTTACAGAAAATATTCAGATGTAACCCCCTTTGTAATTACCATTTTCATAAGTAACTTTAATTACACATTTTTCTCAGTAACTCTTAACTGATTAGTTACATTTATTTTGTCATTAAATTACGTAACAATGTTACGTGTAACTAGTTACTCCACAAACACTGATATTATATTAGTCTATATTATATTGTATGTGTCAAACTGTGAATTGGTGAGGTGGTGAGGATTTTTCACTGACTCTTTCTGTAGGTTACACTGTTACACCAGTAGATGACGACAATTAGTGTCATTATGAGCAGGAGCGTACTGAAAATTCCAGGCCGGGAAATCTCACACTCATCCAGGCCATTCCATACACACACAACAAATTCTGAAACAAGGACAACCCGATTTTTATTTTTTTATTTTGTATGGCCATCACATACATTTTTTTTTAAATCCTTAGGCTGGGGACATGCAAAATAATTAAAAGTTCTCTCCTGAACTGCACCTTCACTTCCATTTTCCTTTTCAGTCTCTTCATTTCTTCTGATAAATGTCAAAATTATTACAATAACAATTGCATCTTTATATTTTCTTTATAGTAAAATCCTAATACTGAACATGTAATGAGTTATAATGAGTCATATTTTTCCCTTACGAAAATTACAGTTCATTTTTGTAATGGTTGTGGTGTTGTCTGCCCCAGCTCCCTCTAAATATATTATAAAATGATGTGAATATTTGTCTGCTAAATTACTACTGTAACATTACAATAGATAATAATGATGTCCTTTAGCATACAGTGTTTTGAGTGATGAGTAATGCGTTGCTACTGCTAACAGATGCTAGCAGTTTAATACTTAACTAAGTAAACAAAGACAAAACTATAATAGTCTATTTACAGATGAAATTGATCTGCACTTGAAGTCCTGAACAGGTCAGTAGTTTTGCCTCACTGCTCCACCTGGTCACTTCCCATCTATTCTCGAGTCTCTCACATTGATTACTCTGATCGAAACCGTTTGGCGGAGATGCGAAGTTTGCACGAGAGCAGAAGTGTAGCGTTGCCAGTCACAACTACTATTTCATGATTTATTGGAGATTTTTTTATCCAATGGCGAATTCGGAAATAATCGTTTTAGTACATTCGACAGCCAATTATATATATATATATATAAAAACAGGGCAGCGGGCCAAATCGGTTGCCAGGCCACTGGGAATTCTCCCAGTTTTCCCGATGGCCAGTCCGTGCCTGATTATGAGTGAGTCATTAACTCATTCTTTCAACCAATTCATTCAAAAACATTGATTCATTCTGAAACAAAACAAGCCTCTATGAGTGAATCACTGAATCATTTACTTAACAAACAATTGAAAGTTGTTATGAGTGTCACTGAATTAATTTAAAAACAGAGATTTATTCAGGAACGAACACAAGTCACTGAATCGCCCAACCGATTTGTTAAAAAAAACTGATTAATCCAGGAACATCACTGCTGCGTGTTTCTCGGATACTTGCAACTATACTTGTTTATTGGACTGTTGTGTAAAAGCAGTGTCACACTTGCAATTGTGTGGTTGTTAACATGATTTATTACACGGCTCTGTGGAATACTTGATTCTGATTGGTCAGTCGCGACATTCCGAGGTATGCTATGTAAGGGATAATGTACATCCAGCTGGTTGTTATTTCAGAATAAACCCCGACAGGGTGATCAGAACCCCGACGCAAAGCAGAGGGATGTACATTATCCCTTACTAATTGTGTGGTTGTTAACATGATTAAGTACGTTTTTTTATTTTAATCAACTAATTATTTATTTATTTATTTTAATCTTGTTATAAAAGTTTTACAAAGCAGGATCTTTACCGCCTTAAATCCCCTGGGATCACATAGCCATGTTTGGAAGCCAAAGTTGGCTTCATTTGTGCAGTCTAGAGCCTTATTTCAAGTTCATAGTCCAGTCTTTGCTTGAGATTAAGTGGTTTAGTTGGTGACATTCTCTCGAAGATACTGTGTCCAAGATCACCTTAATGTGGCTGAACCTGGGTGATTCATTAAACCAACAAGACGAGTAAATGCACCCTCTGGTGGGATAAAAGCTTCCCATTCAGTTGAGTTGTAGACTTCAGTCCACTACAGAGACGCATTGTATTTCAGTCTCTGTAAATGAGTCTCTATAAATTCCAGCCCGACAAGTTCAATGATTGAGCGGCACTCCGCTTGGACCTGTTAATTTGCTCTCTGCTACTGACCATTTTTAAAGCTCTCCTTTGTTGCTTTACGCAGGATTTAACATAAATGGGGAAATGGAGGTATCAACACTCCACAATTAACTTCAGATAATATAGAGAGTAACGACAGGGTCGGCTTTCAGATTATGCATGTGGGGTGATACAGATAACATTGAGTTAAAGCTAAGAAAAGATGAAAAACGTGACCATGTTTGAACTCAGGGTTTGGAGGAAAGTTATACAGAAGTCTTTGCATTGGATTCGCACTCATGTTGTTGTTGGTGTAGTTTGTTTTTGTCACTTTCTAACCTCAGTGGAAAGGTCACTTTATTGACCTTTTTGCTAATAAATTAATTATCGCAGAACACGGCATGAATTCATTATCAGGCATTGAGGCATTGTGTGAATTAGTTTGGCATGCTTTGGACATCCTTTGAAAAGCTTTGCAAATAAATTAAACTTGCATATAAATGAATGCCTCATCCCAGAGTCAGCCAAGATCTTGCACCAAGCCTGTCACTTGGGCATGTTTAGGGAAATAAATGAAAAACAGGATCTCTGAACTCTTATGGGCCAGATTTGAGAGCTTAAAAGTTTTGCACTGGACTCATCTCTTCTTTGTCTTTTTTGCAGGGTTGGAGAAAGTCGGCAGGGACTCCACTTACGAGCAAGAGGGAAAGGTGCAGTTTGTGATGGACGCAGTGTATGCCATGGCCCACGCGCTGCACCGCATGCATCGGGACCTCTGCTTGGGATATCCAGGCCTTTGTCCCCGCATGAGCAACATAGATGGCAAGGAGCTGCTGGGATACATCAGAAACGTCAGCTTTAATGGTGAGAAACATCCGCTATTCTAACACATTATTCTGCTGCTCGGTTTAATTGGACTGCTGGAAAGCACACTTGAACCTCAACCCCGATTGTTTAATTGATTTGCATAATTATTTAAAAGCCACCGTTGTTCATAATCAGAAATGTTTGTACTTTGCTCCTGTTGTGTGAACAGGCAAGTTTGTACAAGTTTGTGTTTGTACAATTTCTTAATCATTCCAATTTATTAATTTTGATTTGATTTTTAAAATGTTATAGTAAATTTGAAAGATAAAAGAAAAATAATAAATATGTATAAACTAAAAAAAAATTATTAAAAAGTTTAGTTTTGAAATCACACAGCCCTTATACATAAATTAAATAGTTTTTAATTATTTTTTTAATGTATTTTATATTAATTTACTTTAAATAACCATTTTTTGCTACTTAAAAATGTTAAGACAAATCATAATAAAACAAAAAACAAAGAAATTAAAACTTTTGAAATTCTGAAACTTCAACCGTGATAACCGTGATTTATTAATTTTTTAAAAGCCACCTTTGTTCATCACTTTTATTTAATTGTAATAAGTTCTTAATCATTTATGTTTAGGATTAGGAACCAACTGGTTCCATTAAAAAATACTGTAATTGAATGATTTTCATGGTGTGTGTTTCCAATGGTTCTGGAATGTCTTCATCTACCGAAAAAATCAAAATAATAAAAATTCACTGAATTTTGTAATGTAAACATCAGAGGCGTTCTCATGATGCAAGTCTTGCTTTTAATCGGCTGTGATTTTCAAGCATGTTATTGATTTTTGTGTGTGTGTATGTGTGTGTGTGTGTGTGTGCATGTGTGTGTGTGTGATAAAAATCTATTTATATCTTTTCATGGTATAGTACAGGGATCCTCAAATCTGGCCCACGAGATCCACTTTCCTGCAGAGTTTAGCTCTAACCCTAATCAAACACACCTGAGCAAGCTAATCAATGTCTTCAGGATCATTAGAAAATCACAGGTAGGTGACTTTGATCAGGGTTGGAGCTAAACTCTGCAGCGCATTAGCCCTCCAGGGCAAGATTTGAGGAACCCTGGTATAGTATGTAAATTCACAGACACAAAAAATGAAATACAATATGTACTTAAGAGAAATATCAAACACAGCAAAGTTACTAGACATGATCAATTTGCATATATAATCTAATAATACAGCTAATTTCTGATTTGTTATTTCTGTTCTGTTAATTTGACATCAGGCTTCTAGGAACTGTTTTCCATATAGTGTTCAGGTCACACTCTGCTACTTAGGAGGCATGCTGGAGGCATGAGTAAACGAAAACAGGCTTTTAATCCACGGAACACTGGGCACATCAATACTGGGGACAGCAGGAAACACATAAACATAACAAGTAGAACCGACAGAGACACACTGCACAGACTAGGACTTAAATACAGGGGATGATTGGGGAAACACAGGTGTCAGGAATCATAATCAAACTAAACGAGGACAGGAACATGATCAAATAAGGAAAAACAGGAACAGAAACGGGGGCAAAACACGACACAGAACAGTCCAGACTCCTGACCGTTCATTCTTTTCTCTCGAAATGACTAAAAATAATTGTTCACAGAATCTTCATTTAGTTCTGTGCGATTCACTTCCCTACAGTCTCTCCGCACTCCTCTTCCTCAGTTCTGCATTCTGATACTTCCTGTCTCCCTTACATGAACTCCTCACCTCAGCTCATCCACATGTCTCTTTTTAGAAGATGTTTTATGCTGCTATATTTTGTTTAAACTTTATATTTTGTTGCTTCATGCAGTGCATCAAAAATTCCTCAGTACAGGTCTCCCTTTTCTTGCTAAATCATTTTTTGAGTGATCTTCTCCAAAACCACATCTCACACATTTTAAGTGATTTCAGCTTTCTTCCCCGTTTAACATATCTTTTTAGCCTTTTTCTTTTATGTAGATCAGAGGGATTTATGCAGTATTGCTGATGGTGACGTGCCCACTTCCTCTGCTTTCTCATACAGTCTTTCTCCTTGAACTTTTCAAAGCATTTGCACCAGTGTTATAATCTAATATGTGAATGAAATGTGAATAACACATACTGTAAAGTTTAACAGCATGTACCAGCATTCACAACCCATTTTACGTCTGTAATATGGCACATTTCTATGTGAAAAAGCGTACTTGAGGCAACATTATTGGTGTGGGTCTTGATCTTGGGCGTCGCTAGGCCATTTTTAGGGGGGGCTATAGCCAATCGGTTCCCCATCTATTGTAGCCCAAGTTTTTGCTGCGTTCACCCCTCATCACACCACAGCTGTTTCCTCCAGTGAAAATGAAGCACATATTAACGCATACTTTATAAAATGATCATGTTGCCATTTTCATTTGAAAATTTTACTTTCAATGTAATACATATTCCAGTGCATGTGGCATAGAGGTTTGCATACTTGAGCTAAGGAAAGAGGGTTGTACTAGAAATGCAAACAGTAGCCTAAAATTTAGTGTTTGTACTGTAAACGTGTGTGTGTGTGTGTGTGTGTGTGTGACAACAATAACAAAATATTTATTTATTTATTTAGTTAGTTAGTTAGTCTCAGCTAACTATAACCCTGGCTGAAATACTAAAATAACTAAATAAACTAAAACTGAAAAACTACACAAAGCATTAAAACATTTTTTAATTAAAAATAAAATACAATTCAAAATATTAACAAACTATAACAGTATATATATGGATGTACAGAATGATATAAAAGAATGCTAGATATTATATGTATAATAATTCTGGTAATTGATGTAATTTAATTAATTGGTTCTATTTTAATCCTTTCTGGTGTTATTAGCAGGTAAATCTCAAGCTAGCAGAGTATGAAAGATATCCGGTTTGTTGAAATTCCATCTAAACAGTTTGTCAAATGTCTGGGTGTCTTATTTCAAAGACTTCACAGCGTCATTGAATTAACAAATTAATTCAGTACCAAAAGCAAATGTGAAACTGGTCAAACCAGGCTGTTCATTTATTCATTTTTAGTCACTGAAATGTACATGAAGCAGAATAGAGTAGTATCCATAAATGTTTGACCAAATGACTCAAAAGAAGAAAAAACATCTATAGTGGGAATTGTTAAACTCCTGCAGCGAGGAAAATTATATTGTTCATGCCTGTAATGAGCCTGTAATGAGTCAAATCCAAAGACTTTTCACAACCCAATCAAATAACTATGGATAAAATGAAGACCAGGGGCGATTCTAGGATTTTCATTTTAGGGGGGCTTAGCCCCCAGTGAGGCTATAATAATAATAATAATAATAATAACACAAATTAAATAATTTTTGTTGACTAACAGGGTAGGGTGGTATACTAAACTTATTGCAGTGCAGCAGCTGGATGCAATAATCGCATGCCAATGTGCATTGGCTCGTTTAGTTTACACTCGAAGTAGATTGGTCCCTCTAAGCGAGATCCCAATTTCGTCGGTCCTCCGACGTGACGTCTCCGTTCCCTCCTTCAGGGAACGAGGGTTACATACGTAACCGAGACGTTACACAAATAACCTAGACGTAATTACATCACATGCTGATTAATTCATCAAATTAATCTCATATCAACATTTGCTGAGAAATAATTTTATCTTTAATGCATTATTAAAATATAAATATTAGTAATAACAATAATAGTAATAACAACAATAATATATTACATTGGCAGACCTCATTAAAACACTGAAGACTGTGACTGAAGAAGATGAAAAAAATGCAGGAAGGATTTCATGACTTTTAGGGTGAAACTTGCCAGTTTGGTCCTCAGCGTAATGTACAGGAATGTAAGGGTTTTACTCATCTGCACAAACAACTGTGTTAGGATGGACGTGACCGCAAGTGCATGCTATTGGCTGGGCTCAGTCATGTGACTCTAAACTGTTCCGACAGATTCGTGAGTCAAATGTAATGTAATGGGAAATGTTTAATTTGTTTAACAAAACGCATTTCAAATGATGTTTTTGTGTTTTGCATTCATTAACATTCAAAGCGCTGTTAGAGTGTGTGTATTTATGCATATATGAGCCATCATGTGTGTTTAGGATCGTTTGATGCACATTTGACGTTTCTATTCTGTGTTTTCTTGTATGGAATGCTTGATCAAGGCAGTAAGGGATGTTTTTTTTTTCCCCCGGCGACAGCAAGAGGACGATTTTTCTAATCAAGTCAATGATAAAAGCAGCAGATCTGACGAGTCAAGCATCAACCCCACAACCTTTATCCCAGAGCTATGACAGCTACTGTGGCCAGCGGGCAATTGTCAAGTCAACTGCAATCAGATGCACTTCAGTGGCTTCATTCATATGCTTAATTTTAGATATGTGTGTTGAGCAGAGCTACAAAATGAACATGTCTGTCATGATCGCACCAAATGTCCGGTATTTGTTCTGCTGTACTTATGTTGTGTATCTTGCACGCTTGTGGTGTAGTGGCCAACATATATGCAGGTATAATCCACAATTTTTTTAGATTTATTCTTAAAAAAAAGAAAAAATATATTTGCCAGTGATGTGAAATAAAATTCAATATATATTAAAAAGTGACCTTTATAATATAATTTAACATAATAATTGATTTAATATTTTTGTTGTTGTTCATGTCTTTTTCATTTTATTTTATTTTTGGTATTGTATTTTATCTCATTTGTTTTATTTTCAGTGATTTTTTGTTATTTTATTTTTTAATTACATTTTTTTTCAGTTGTTTTTTGTTTTACATTGCTAACTTTTGATTTCTATTGTTAACTTTTGTTTTTTTATTTATTCTTTTATTTTTCATGTTATTTTTTATTATTTTCTAATAACTTTTTGTTTTATTTTATTTTCATATTATTTTTAATGCTAAAGTTTTTATTTTCTGCTAACCTTTATTTTATATTTATTTTGTTTTATTCTCAATATTTTATTTTTTCTTTAGTTTTTATTCTTTAGTTTTATTTCATATTTTATTCTACTTTTCATTGGTTAATTTTGTTTAGTTGTTAAATTTTTTTTGCTTTCCATTATTAACTTTTATTTTTTATTATTATTTTACTTTCAATGCATTTTCCATTGTCTGTTTTTCCATTTTTATTATTTTCTAATAACTTTTCTTGTATTTTATTTTACATTATTTTATGTTATTTCATGCATACTGAAGGAAACTCAAGTCCTGTCTTTTTAATGTATTCTTTATTTGTCCATGTGTTTTTGGTTTTGTGTGTTGTGTGTGTGTGTGTGTGTGTGTGTGTGTGTGTGTGTGTGTGTGTGTGTGTGTGTGTGTGTGTGTGTGTGTGTGTGTGTGTGTGTGTGTGTGTGTGTGTGTGTTTTATTTATTTATAGTGAACAGAACTCAAGTCACACCTTTGTAATATATACCATATTTGTTTTTATGGTTTTATGTTTTTGTTTTTACATACTAAAGGGAACTCAAGTCTCGCCTTTTACGTTTGCCCATGTCTTTTTATTTTATGTTCTACTTTAATTTTATCCATATTTAAATTGTTTTCCATATTTATTTACTTTTAAATTATTTCCATACTGAAGGGAATTCAAGTCCTGCAACATTACAGGCATGTTGTGAATGCATGCTGTTTTTAATGTATACAATTAACAAATGTACATTAAGATAGCATTCAACATTTAGGAAGAATAAGAACTCTCACAAGCTAGTCAGAATGTCTTAATAGCGAGCGATTGATTATAGAGCTGACCTGGAAAGATTGTATTGTGTTTTCATCTCTACTATCGATTTCCTCTTAGTTTCTCAACAACTAAATGAAAACAGATTATTTAGTAGCTGTATAATGGTTGAATAAATGGAGGACAGGGAAAGGACGTTGTGCACGTCTGCTGTGAGCATGTCAGCAGCTAATTGTCTTTATAAAGAGAGAAAAAATCAATACAGAGAGATGAGTTCATTTTTTTTCTTTAATATGTGATGCTTTATCTCAGTCTTGGAAAAGGGCATCACCACTTCACATCAGACAGCTGAATTAATTGAAGAATTAACCTTTTGACAAGGCATGGACTTCCTTCGTTTGTCTGACATGAAGGTGCTCTGCTGTCAAAGTCTGGCATGAGATCAAGAGTATAATCGTTGCCCTGATGCCTGTGGCTGAACACCAAGCAGGCATGCTTTTATGCTGTGTGTGGTGCTCTAATGTTTAACCTGCATGTGAGGTTGTATTGGATATAGAGATTAAGACTTGTGAATTCCTACGCTTGTCTTTTTGCCTCGTCGGTTGTCTTGCATTATAAGCAGCGGCTGTATGAAACTAGATCTGATGTCAAGGGATTGAGTTATATGAGGATAGATGTGATTCTACTGTATCAGGTCACTATAAGGGCAGTGGTCTGGAAATTGGTTTCTACGCTTGGTTCAATTGCTTGGTCCAAGCCCAGGTTCATTTGTACTCTCCTGCTGCACCAGCAGCTCTCTTTTTACATTGTACTTGTGTATGTTTACATCACCGCCGTGAGTACTGAAAAAAAAAAATAATAAAATAAAAATATGTATGTGTGTGTATATATATATATATATATATATATATATATATATATATATATATATATATATATATATATAGAGTGT